CTGTAACGGAATACAGTTACTCATATTTTGTATTTTAAATACGTAACGGCGGTACATGTACTCTGTTACTCCCCTTTACTGCAGCCTGCAGTAAAGCGTCCACAGCTGCAGGGGGTGCTGACGTTTAATCTGTGAACTGCAGCAGGAACTGACCGAAGAATGAAAACAGGAAAGGAAGTTTGGAGTCAGCTGGAAATTTGGTTCTAAAGAATTTTGAGTCGTGAAGATAAAAATGAGTAAATTCAAGACAAAATCAGATTTTCATTTTCCAACATTCAGGCCTCAGCGTGAGCGTGTGACTGTGGGCCCTGAGTTTTTTTGCATCTGTTAGATCTGCCTGGACCTGTGAGGTGGATGAAGCTGTGCAGAAGTGAGCGTGAAGGTGATGCAGCATTTTTCATGTTTCCCTCTGCAGGAGTCTGATGTTGTGATGTGTGGATCACTGAAGGCACTTTTACCTTTAAGCTGCTTCAGCACTTCCCTTTTGTGCAGCTCATATTCAACATAAGGACAAATCTTACACAGTAAAACACACAAAAACACTCCTGCTTGCTTTAAAAAAAAGGTGGTGTGGGTGGAGCGGGATAACAGGGAATGAGGACTCCATCATTGCGTACAGCGCACTTACCTCTGATTGGCTACCCCACACAAACAGCAGGTGGGCGGGGTTTCAGCAGGTCCCAAGAGTTCAAATCCAACCCAAGATCTATAACATCAACGTTAATGAATTAACAACTGCGTGGAAACTTGACTCCGTCCCCAGTGCTTCCACTGGAGGTACGGGGCTCGGCAGCAGCAGCTGATCAGCTGCATTGATGACCTGATACGATGCATTGATGACCTGATCAGATGCATTGGTGACCTGATCAGATGCATTGGTGACCTGATCCGACGCATTGGTGACCTGATCCGATGCATTGGTGACCTGATCCGACGCATCGGTGACCTGATCCGACGCATTGGTGACCTGATCCGATGCATCGATGACCTGATCCGATGCATTGGTGACCTGATCCGATGCATCGATGACCTGATCCGATGCATTGGTGAC